TACGGTCGGGAAGAGACGCAAGGAAGCTGACATGGCAGTATCGCATGTGCGGGATGGGAGAGGAGAAGTTGCCGAGAATAGTATGGGAGGCGAAGTGGCCAAACAAAAAGAGGGGTAGACAACTCACGGAATGGGTCAAGGTTGTGGAGGACGTATGGAAGGGGTTCGACATCGACGACGAAGATGAAACGCTGGAAACGGAGGGTCTACAGGGGTTCAAGGAGAAGATATCTGTTGCTTGTGCCGAAAGAGAAGAACAGAATCTAAGGAAAGAAACCGAGGATAAGGAAGGTCTAGAAGTGTACGGAATGTTGAAAGAAGGAACAGGGTTCAAGGATCACCTACATGGACCAATGGATGCAGGGACACAGCTTGAGGTCAAATTCAGGACCGGGAACATAGGCCTTCGAGAACGTCGACGAAGACATAGGACGGTAGACGACGAAGACGACAAGTTCAAATGTGATTGCGGCTTCGAGTGCGAAGACCGTGTTCATGTAGTCGCGGAATGTCAGTTGTACGAAAAGGAGAGGGAAGTGTACATGAATGAGCTGGGAAAAATACAAGGGAGGTACAGGGAGATGTTTGAGGCATGGAATAGAGAGGAGAGGACGGTAGCTGTAATGGGGCATCGGAAGTGGTTTGAAAAGGCGGGAAGGGATATCGTTAGGATAGACAGACTAGGAAAGACATTTTTGAGTCACCTTTGGCAAAGTATGAAGGAACGATTGGCCATCGGTGATCGATCCTGTGGGAACAATGCTCCGTCCTCTCGAGGACGCGTGGTCAATGGTCTAACCGCTAAAGCATGCAACACGCCCCCCCCCCCCCCCCCCCTCCCTGAATCCTGTCCTTGTGTCCAGAAGATAGTATTGGTAAGAACGCTGTTGCTTTTCGGAAGTGATGCATGGTCAATGAACCAATCAATGAACAAGGAAAACAACAAAAGACCAACCCCCCGCAACCGCCCCCTATCGCCGACCCTTCCCACTGTCGACGCGGCCGGATTTTTTTTTTCGGGGAAGCAGGTGATAGAGGAAGGGAAGCACGATGAGCTGCTCGAACGGAAGGGGGCCTACTACAACCTCATGAGCACGCAAGTTCGCTCTTTCTCCACCATCGGAGACTAGATTCTCCTACTTCCTTCGGCGGCTCATCTACTGCGCTCAAGGAGGCTAACTTCTTGGTGAAGGGGCCAGGGCTACGGTAGTCGATTATCTCTCTCTCTTTCTCGTTCTCTCAAGGGGTACAGCAGTGGAAACTGTCCCGACAAGCTTGGATATCGGAAGAACGGAGCTTGAAGCGTTTCGTGTGTCCTGCTTGCTCCCAGATGGAGAAAAGGGAAGGAGCGAGTGTGCATGTTTCTTCTTGTTGTTGTTGTTTTTAGCATCGACCGCGGTAACCGGCTGAACAATGAAAAGATGGCAGTCTTGCAGCGGAACAATTGTGTGTCTGTTTTCTTATGTTGGATCCACCGCGCTAACCGGCTGACCAATGAGAATATGGCAGTCTTGTAGCGGGATAATCAACACGAAACAGGGTGTGCGAGCCTTTTTTTTTTCTTTCCTGGTGCTGTGTCGGAAACGATACCATCACCTTGAAGGGAGACACCTACCTCTCTCTGCTGCTATTTTTTGCCAGGCGGAATGGTACCATACGTGATACCCGTTGTGCGGCCGCTACCACCCAGGGAGGCTGCTCCGCAACATGTTCGGACCCTCCCGTGTTCATCCTGTCTCGCCTTACCCAGGTTGTTCGATTGATTGGTGGCGAACCGGAGGGAAAAGGAGGAGAAAGCGGGGGAGGCAGAGAACGAGGATACATTAATTTCCCTGCTCTTGCGAGCCTGACGCCGCGGAGTGATGTTTAGCTCGTTTTTTTCTTTACTCTTTTTTCCACGCGTCAGTTTTGCATTTGTCGATTCCGATAAATCAACTAAAGCACTTTTTTTTGTCGGTGGTCTCGACTATTTTGTATACGCGGTTTTCAGGGTCCGTGTGTTGTGTTGGCGGGTCGTTGAAGTTCACCGCGTATGTCTGTCTGTCTGTCTGTCTGTCTGTCTGTCTGTCTGTCTGTCCACTTGCTTGGTGTCATTTGTTCAGAAAGAGCGAGAGGGAGTGAGCAACACTCGTGCGAGAGAGTGGAATGGATGGGTGTTTTGGTCGGCATGGCACTTTTTTTACTCCAGCGTGGTTAACTCTTCTTCTTACGTCCATAGTCCAAGTCTGGAGCATACAATTAACGTATGGGATTGTGTTCACACGCAGAGAGAGAGTTGCTCTCAACCCGGTACAGTAGGCTACCGCTTTGTGTGTGTATCCCCCGCCCCCCTTGTATCTCTCCCAGCAGAATTTCCTCACGTGTGTTGAACTGACCCTCCCCCTTCTGGCACGGGGTGATCTATCCCTAAACGCCACGACCCGTTGTGAATCAAAGGAAGGCGCGCTGTGCTGTCAAGCGTCACCTATGCCCTGTTTTGGTCTCACGATCTTGCTCGCACGCGCCCCAGGGTATATATACGTACTTTGTTCCGGGGCGAAAAGGTGTGATTTTGTGTCTGTTTTTCGTTATTTTCCGACCGTTGCTTGCCGCAGGGAGGGTCGATCGTGTTGTTTTTTTAATCTTTCCTCGTCGGCACGGTGTATGAACTCTAAATATGTGGGTCGCGGACTTCTCCCCCCCTCCGCAGTAGGATCGATGATGGGTGTGACACGGGGTGATGATCTGCTTGTAGCGAAACCCCTTGTGTTCCTTGCCGGCGACGACATTTTTTTTTTTTTTTAATGCGCGAATGATCGAAGGACCCCGAAGGAAAAGAGTCGCTGTGACGATGAGGCAAAAGTGTCGATGGAGCAGAGCGTGAACTGAGTCAGCCACCCCTATTATTTTCGGACAAGGAAGAAGACTTGAGCCGGCGGAAAAAAAAAAAGGCAGCTTTCGAACTGAAAATGAATGTAGCCCTTCGTTTACACACAGGGACTTGGCAAATAATTCCCGTTTTCGGGCGGAGGAATACGAAAGGACATAACCAAGTCGTGGAAGGATGTACGCTTTGCGCAGTAGCCAAAGTTGGGTTAGGGTTGGGGCGAGGGATACGGTCTGCGCACCCCCTCCCTGTTCTATTTCCTCGCAAATTTAATCAATTTCTCGCGAAGGCGGTCCGTCCGGCAGCCTTCCCGTGGCAAGCTTTCGTTCAAATGTTTTTCATAGGGCCGCCTCGCGAACTAGCGAAAGCAAGACATAAAAACCAAAGCTTAAGCCTCACGTCGTCGTCTCAACAAGGCGAGACGCACGCGAACGACGACCGGCGGGAGTGTAGAATGTTGTTTACCGCCCCGTGCAAAATGTTGCCACGAACGTGATCAGCTGTTACATGCATAGCGCACATAGGCTTTACATGCATGGGCCCGCTCCTGGCGCGGCACCGGCCACTGCTGCCTCTCGCGAAGCCACTTTCTGCTGCTAGTTTCCCCCCTCGCTCCTTCCTGCTAAGGATGGGGAGATCTAGAAGAAAGACTTGGCCTAGAAGACTTGGTCCACAAGACTTGGTCGGGGAGACTTGGTCTTGCAGCAGTCGCACTGCCTTTTACAGGATGCTGCTACTCCTCCTTATCAACAGTTCCTTGTTATTTTCCAACATTTTTTTCTCCTCCGGCGCTTGCCCGCACACACAAACAGCCTGCACAGACTTTATTTCCTCGGCATCATCGACAAACGGAAAGTAACACCGCCCGCTGGACGGTGCAAGGGGGGGGGGGGGGGCTCGCAAACGCGACAGGTAGGGTCGACTACCCCCCCATATCCATAATCCCCTGCCATATAACACTGGACTCTGAAAACACAGTAAGGTAAACTCGAGGCACTGGTGTTCGGCCGCTAAATGCTTTGACATACATCGTCCTGGAAATACAGCCGCGGCTTGAGTGTGGACACGCCGCGATTCCAGTAGAAAAACATCGAAACCGATAACATCGAAACTGATCCACCCACTCTCCACAGCTTGGATATACACCAAACACAAAACAAACACCTATAATAGAGATAACTCTCAATGGGAGGCGTGGTGGCTTGCTTGAACAAAACAACAACCACACGAGACAGCCCATCATGCATCACTGGTATCCCTCAACGGGGGGGCGTGGGGAGGGGGGGGGGAGACAACAAAGCGAGCCTTGTTACGGTACGCACGGTAAACGTAGACGACTCGTTCCCCCACGCGATGGCACAGAGCAAAAAACGTACAACGGGATAAGAAACACATCCATCCACGTCCCCAATAACAAAAAGAGGAAAACAAAGCACGCACAGCTTTGGTCAAAGGAGAAAGCGGAGCGAGGAGGAAGCGAAACTTCCTCCAGCAGAACAAAAAACAAAAAACACAGAACAAAATTTGTATGCATACCTACACGCACATCGACAGACCATCGGCCTCAACACATGCAACTGGATGGTCGCTGGTTGTAGCACTTTCTGTCTTCCCGGGACGTAGGTATGTCACCACACGACAGACAGCATCGTCTCGGCAGCGGGGAGTAAGTTTGCGAACAAAACTGCGAGCAAACCCCGAAGACACCGAACAAGGCCTCCAAAACACTACCACGCTCGAGTCCTAGCTAACACCACAAACCACAGCCGAGGCAATCGCAGATGGCTTCGCAGAACCTCTCCCCAAAGGCCTGAACCGATCTCTATCCCGGCGGAAAGAATCGCTCCCTCGGCGTAAACGCCTCCTTTTTGAAAAACATCGATTTGCTGCGTGGGCTTTCTGCCTTGAACCCCAGCAACACACTCACTCACTCCTCATGCGCTGATGTTCCAAAAAAAAAAACGCGTTCTTTTAACAATTTCATCACGATGGACAGAGTATGTGCCGGCCTGATACGAGAGGTCCCACACAACATCGAGTCAAATTTGTTGCTCTTTACTAGCATAGAAAGACAACTTGGTATACAAAGACAACTTGGTAGACAAATATAACTTGTTACACAAAAAAGAGAAAGAGACCAACTCACGGATCAAAATTATGGAGTACAAACGTGCCCCCCCCCCCCCCCCGTCCCTGGTACTACCAAAATGGAACACAACAACTGCCACGACACAGCACAACCACCACCCCCGCAGCGAGACCCATAGACTGACCGACTACCACCATTGTGTATGGGGTGGTGGCGACTGGCATTCCACTAATTGGGGAAGCTCCCACAGGAAAAAAAAAAAACACCCCTGCCCCACTC